TAAAAAGTGACAGCAGGTTCCTGTGCTCCTGGTGGAAATTTGTAAATTGACAGAATTGCACAGACTAGTAGGCTTTAAACAGGATAGTACTAACATTATGACTATTTTTTTTAAAAAGAGACTTTCTATGTAAAAGCTGCAGAGGCATGATACTGTTGCCCTAGCAGGTTGCCTCCTTTCAGGTGTTGCCTATTGTCTCAGATCTTACTTTGGTGGGACTGTTGGAGTCTGTTTGTGGTATTTGTTACCTCATTTAAATTTCAATCACTTTCTTTATGATTTATAAATAATACAGAAAGTATTTCCAGAAATTAAAGCTGATTTTTTTTTTTCTTTTCCAGGGTGAAAGAATCCTCTAAGCAGGGAAAGTAATTTTTTTTAATCCCAAAATCAACATATCAATGGTATCTTGAGGGATAATTGAGAAGAGCATTAGGGATGAAAACATCGCTGTGGAATTCTCTTTGTGTGTTCCCTCCAATGTTCTGTTCCTAACCCAGCTCAGAGTCTGAGATCTGAAAACTAAAGGTGTTGCATTGTAGATACATCAACATGGTTATTGAAGGATATGCCATCTTTTGTTTTGTTGTTTGGTTTTTTTTCCCCTCTGTGTCCACAGGTGTAAAAAATGAGCTTTTCACCTTGCTTTGTGTATTGGTATGCACATGTACTCATAAAGCCCAGAGAAGTACAGTATTAAAAAATCACATCTCTACTTGTGTATTCAGTAGAATGCCAGCAAAAAAAAGATGTTTTATTTATCATGTCCTTGGTGCTGAACTCTAAAAGTCTTCATCTCATTTAAGGCATAGCAAGATAATGTGTTTAGAGAAAACTTTGCTAATGGCATGTGGGAAACAGCAGGAACTGGCTGGTAGTTCAGAGCTGTCAGGCTGTGTGGAGGTTTTGGAGTGAGCTGCTTTGCACAGGTTTTTGGGGCACTACAGAGAGCCTGTAGGTAGTGCTGTTTGGATTGAGACAAGCACCCTTGGCACCTAGGACACACTTGCACTGTCTGGGCATGGCTTGTGACTGCTCTGAGAGTAACGAGAGGCTTTTCTTCTAGTGGACATTTGGTGGCCATCACATTAGATATTACTCAAACATTTTTGACTCCTTAATAACTACAAATGCATTTCGATCTTCCAATTGCGGGCATCACCTGTATTTTGTCCCCCAATATGCTGTTTTCCTACTTCCTACCTCTGTGGTATTTTAACTGTTTTATGAATTTGGTGCCCACAGCTGCAAACTCAGAGCCTGTTCAATGATTAAAGCATCAGGGGTTCAAATATTGGGCAGGATGGCTTCCAGTGCTGCTAACACTACATCCATTGTTTGCAACAGATGAATATCCACATGTTGTAAATGGGGAAATGGAGGAAAAGGGACTTGCCAACATTGGCTGGAAAACCCTATGTTCAGAGTCCCATGGCAGTGATTTTTCTTTTAATCTATATTTCCTTTTCCCTCCACTATTCCAATACACCATAGAGATATTTTTCAAAGCTTTAATTCAAGTTCTACCAAAAAATTATTCTTACAGCATACATTGGATTACATCCACGGATGTAATGATAGAGTAGAATGATGAATTCCAAGTTATTGACCTTCTGCCTGGAATTTGTTTATGAATTTGGGTAAAATGGTTGTCATTTGTTTACTCACTGTCTTGTCTGAAGGAGAAAACACCCGGTTTGTGTTTATAGGCTCATTGGGTTTGAGTCATCACTGTTTAACTCACCTTGCAGGCTGCTAATGCATTGAAATAATAAGGAGGTATGGTAAAAGGAATTTGCCACGTGTCTCACAGGGAATGCAGTAATCGACTTTGTCCTACAAGATGCTGAGCTTTCCTTAGGAAGTGCTAACAGCACACTTATCTCCCCATACCTTGCATGCACTCAGGAATGTGTTCTACCTAAAGCAAAGCATTGAGCTTGTTGATCTCGTGTATGTTTGTCTGCATAGGATTAAGTGTTGCTATCGGGGCCTTCTCACTGCTGATTTAATTAGGTCTCACAGCAAGGATGCTTTGATTAAAAAACACCTTTCAGCTACTTGGCTTGGAAACTGATACCAAAAACCCATGTGATTCTGCACTGAGCCAAGAGTGCTTCTGCAAGGAAGGCTAGCAAATATAAATACTTGACAATTTTTGCATAACAACTTGAAACTAATAGATTTATGGTGATTTAAAAAACTTCTCATTCAAACTTAAACTGTGAAATTTTAGCATCCTGTCCAGATTAGCATTCTTAGAAATTCCTGTAGTTTCAGAATTTCTTCTTCAAAGAACAGGTAGTGACTTTTCCTCAAAAGACTTCTGTGCCCTATTTTGAAGTGATGCTGGTGTGGGATTCCCAATGATTTCTCCATCTGGAGCAGTGGAATTGAGTGTCATCTTTCACCTGTGTTACTTGGCCTGCATTAGTGACGTTCCTTAGAACTTGTTGCAACTCTTGTGAGTTTTCCACATTGACTTTGGAGGTCTGTGGGTCTCAATTAGCAGTTGTATTTTTCAAGAGCTCTCACTGAAGTGCTTTTCTGTGCAAAACTGGGGTTGCCTGTTTGAGCAGGAAGCAGTGAGCTTCTGTACTGAGGAATGGAGTATCCTTCAAAATGGTAGATTTGATCCAGCTCTTGATTTTGTTTATGGTTGTTTCGTTATCGCTTCCACAGACCAAGTGAAATTCCTTATTTTTCTGCTCATATCCCTGCCATAAATGTGAATGTTCATCCCTTTCTTTTCTACTCAATCTAACCAGCAACTTTGCTTTCTCTGTCTGCTTCTGGATTCTGTGGTAGTTCTCAGTGACCCCATGACAAGATATTAATTTCTGTTCTGAAGGCACAGTCAAACTAGGCACAAGAACAAGTTGGCTGAAGTTCAGAAAAAGTAAGTATTCAGGTTGAAGGAAACACAAGAGTGTCATCAGGCCAAGTTAAGCTCTGAATTTCAGCAGTTTGAAACCTGCTTCGTCTGGGAAATCTGCTGTGAGTTTTCAATGCCCAAGTAATATCTCTTGAATGAAGGTGATCTAAACTAGGATGAGTGGGTTTTACTGTTGGTCCATCTGCTTACTTCAAAGTTTTCAGTTCTGGTGATATTTACCTGGTGTTAGCCAAATTATTGCCTGAAGTACTTCTGTTTTGGTTTGGTTTGGTTTGGTTTTTTTTGATTCTGCTCTATTTATTGGTGTTATACCAGTAAACCATGCTGAGCTAAATATACCATGAAAGCCAGTCAACTGGGAGACATCAAGTTCTACTTCTCCTCTGTAAAACATCACTGAAAAATGCCTGTTTCCTACAACTCTGCCTGTTGAGTCTTCCAGTGAGGACTGGGTCCTATTTTGCTTGCCATTCTATAAATACATGATGCTAAAGCCCTGGCTCCCTTTCAAACCTGGAATTCAGGATCTGATCCATGAGCCTGATGGGGTTTTTTGGGAGGTGTCAGAGCAAGCAGGTTGCTGCAGGGAGTACCACAGGGCAGAGAGCAGCAGGTACCTCTGTACTGCTCTTCAGCCAGTGCTCCCCAGGGCTGTTCAGGTTGCTCCAAGAGTGTAAAATTCTTCAAGTTCTACAAAGATAAAGTTTCCATAGTGTTTTCCTGAATAATTATTTAAGAGTTGAGTCCTAAAGTAACACATTGTGTTTAACGGAACAGCTTTTTCTTGCTCTTTGAATTGTGTATAATACAATTCTTATGTATCATTATTGTAGCAGGATGTACTTATGGACGGATCAGGACTTAAAACTGCTGTTGTGTTTCCATAGCAGTAGTGAACTTCCACTTAGAGTGATATGTTTAGTGGCTGAAGTGGAACCTCTTGATGTTTTGATGTGCTGGTTTAAAGGTAAACCAGCAGGGGAAATGAACTCAACTCAAAAGAGAGATTATAAGTCAGAATAACAATTTAATAAAATAATACAGTAAGTACGGTTATACAGACAAACAATTGGTTTTAACCCACAAAACCCAAATGTATAACACAGCACCCTGAGGCATGAACAGTGGTGTTCTTTGGGCCCCCTGAGTCCAAAGTAAAAGGAGAGGGGAAAACCTGTTGGTGAGAGTGCTGTTGCAGTCTGGTCAAGAGTGGTGATTGCAGTCAGGTTGAGAGTGATGGTTGCAGTCCAGTTGAGAGCGGTGATCTGCAGTCTTCCTCTGGATCTCAGGAGTGTTCTCCAAAGTTCCAAGACTCCAAGATTATATATTCTCCAGTTCAGGCAGGAATGCTCAGTACTTCCCTCAGGGAGGGGAGTTCCACAAAAGAGTGTGAGGACATGGGAGGCACCCTCCTATCTCACAGGCCTCTTAATACCCAGTTTATAGCCTGAGGAGTCAGGCTGCTCTGGGCAGAAGGTGTAAATAGTCTATTGATACCAGTTTCTGGGAAATGGCATGGAAGGCTATAGAATACACAGTTTTGGGTTACACCCATACAGTGATGAACTGGTCCCAGCTGTTCTAACTAGGACATTTGATCTTGTCTATTGTGTCTCCTTGACCACTGACAGCACTTTTGACTGGGATTAGAACTACCAGTCCCATGTTATAGGTAGAGGAACTAAGAAACAATGGAAAAATGATTGCCCAACACTGCTCTCATTAGAAAAGAGATGGTGCTGTGGTCCCCTTTCTGTTCTTTCCTTCCACAACTCTTCTTTCTTCTCACTCCCTGGAGCTTCACATCCTTGTTAGCTCCTGCTATGTCCTTTTATTCTGCCTTAGGTAAACCAGATGCTCTCTACCAAACATTAGTTACCAAATATCGTGTTGTGTAGTAGAAGGAGAAATAATAGACTGAGGTGATATACCCATGAGATGTTTCACCATCAGGGTAACAATGCAATGTGGAGTAAGTTGAGTTCAGTTTGTATGCCTTGTGAGTAACATCCATAATAAAAATATCAGGGCTGGACATTCAGGGTCTTAAAAGGAGACAAGTGTGATTAATGCTTGCTGTGGTTTCCCTTTTCGTATCTTGCAGGACAGTTTTGCTGTGGATTCTTTGTGATCCTGATCCTGGGCAACTTCTGGTTCCTTGCTGTTCTGTATCTGCTGTGGCTCTACCTCGACTGGGAAACACCATGTGCTGGAGGCAGACGGTCCCAATGGGTCAGAAGCTGGACTGTTTGGAAGTACTTTAGGGAATACTTTCCCATTCATGTGAGTAAGAGTTTTCTCACAGAACTGTAAACATTGGAACAGAGACAGGCTTGAATAGCCATGAGCATGGACAACTGTCTAAGACTCATCTTTGGTAAAAATCTAATACTTACTCCAGGGTGAACTTAACTTCTTTTTAAAACATGGGAAATCTGAGATATAGTGACAAAAAGGGACAGGGCCCGGTTTTCTGCTTGGACTGTTGGGTCACAAGATAGTGCCTCAGCACAGTAAATGCTAGACATGATATCTTGAGACACGTCTATTTAAACTTCCTTCATCTGTAAAATGGGACAATAGTTTAAAGTGCTCAGAAGAGATGAATTGTCATCGGTTCTGTGTCCTGTCAATGTGCAATCTCCGTACTTGTTGTTTTTGAGGTAAGTATTATAATGTCCTCCACTGACTCTATTTTTCAGCTTATAAAAACTTCAGATCTGAACCCAAATCACAACTACTTACTTGGCTTCCACCCTCATGGGGTCCTGGTAGCTGGAGCCTTCGGAAACTTTTGCACCGGTACAAGTTTCAAAAATTTATTTCCTGGGCTTACTCCATATCTGCATATCATGCCCATCTGGTTTGGCTGTCCCTTCTTCAGAGAATACGTAATGAGTGCTGGTAGGTAAAAGCAGAATGTCTCAGCTGTTCCTCCATATTGTAGCTTCTGCTTCAAATGTAGGGTCTATTCCTCTACTTATAAAGGTAAGTAATTTCACTTCAGAAGGATCAGTGTTGATGCTAAATTTAACCTGTATTTTATGATGAAATTTAACAAAACCATTTGGAAGGTTTTAGTAATAGTTTTGTTAAATTATACCACTGAGCTTTTTTTTCCTTTCTGAAAAAAAATTGCTGGTTATCTCTTGAACTGTGAGACAGCAGTACTGAGTATTCATTTTATGCAAGAAGAGAAGGGCATAATCATTTATAATGTTAGTCATGGAGCAGGCACTTGTGAAACAAATTCAGGCTAATCTCTTACCTGAGGGAGCTTAAAGTTTTACTCATTACAAATATCTTTCTAGTCAGATCTTAATTACTGGCTTCTGACTGAGGTCCCATATTGCAAATTTGTGTACTTTTAATTGAGATGTAAACTCTAAAAACAGGATCCTTTTTTCTCTGTTCCAAGCAGCACTTGTCATAAAGGGGTGATATTCATGACTGGGACTGCAGTAATAAAAAATAAGCAATAAAGTTGAGGGAAGAGTAGAATGACTCATGAAATCAGGACTAGCATTCCCCCACAGTGGTTTAATACAGGAGCTATTTTACTTAAATTCACTCAACTAGAGTATTTGAGTATGGTCTGATGCACAAGACTAGGTTTGGGAGACAGAGATGTAACTTTATTCCTGACTGTAACACAGGTGGTGTGATCTCAATAAGCTGTTCAGCTGCTCCATTCGTAGAAGCAGATCTAGGGGGTTGTTCAGATTAATATCAGAATTACATATCTACATATACATCATCATAGCAGAGAATGCCTTTCCAGGCAAATGTTATTTCTGAGGGGATTCTTTGAGGCTTGCAAAGTGAAGGATTGGCAGTGGTAGAATATGACAATTTTAAATAGTGTCTTTTAAACCCTGTTAAACTTCCTAGGCTGGAAGTCAGCTTTACATGTTTTTGGCATCTTGACCCCGAGGAACAAATATTTACCTGCAGGATAAGAAACAACTGCAGTAAAAAGCATGGTAAAGAATAGTCAGCATTGGGGCTCGGTTTTCACGGGTATGCAGCTGATAAACCAGAGAGGACCTTCAGTGTCATACAGGTTATCAGTCAAGTCATGGAACACAAAATCTTCTATGTACTGAAAGCCATGCTCCTAGCACATTGTTTCATCTCCCAGTGTTGTTCTGCCTGTCTCCAAAGCCTGCCAGGCTGGAGTTGTCGTTGCAGAGCTGTGCTCTGAGCGAGCAGTGAGCAGTGCCTGCATGCAGGCTGACATCTCAGCCTCAGCAGTGGGACACATTTGTCCTGGGGAAAGACAGTGGCCCTTGCTTTCCTTTCCAGAGAAGATGCAAGCTGATGTGTGAACGAGCATCACTTGAATTATTTGTGAGTCTCAGGTCAGCTGCATTTTTCAGAGTAAAAGTGACTGTGAAAACCTATATGGCAAATGGAAGTAGCTTTTTACTGAGGTCTGAACTTGCTCCAGTAGCAAGCTATTCCTCTTGGTGGCCAGCTCTCAAAACGAGGTGACAGTCATTTTTCCTTTTTTATGAAATTTTTATGATCCACATTGTAATGTCTCTGAGAGAAAAACACCCAAGCGAGTACCAGGACATCCAAAAGAGTGCATTTTGATACCAGCTCTCTAAAACCAACTACAACATCAGTTAGACTTGATCTCTAAATTATCTTTTGGATTATATTAATTCAGCACAGTGTATTTAAACACGGCTTCTGGGTAAATGGTACTACTATGAGCCTTTGAAGTAAAAATTAGGGTGCAAAGGAACTCTGGAAGGGTTAGGTGCATATCTGTTAGAAAGGGGATTTTTCAAAGCACCAAGTCCAGAGCAAGATCTAAATCATTGATAAAGGCTCATACAGCAGCGTGCCTCTGATTAGAAGTACCAGTGGGAGTACCACAAAAGCTTCATGTAGTCTGCTGTTTTAGCCTAAATAGGTTGGTGAGTGCTGGGGCCTGGTTACTAGAGAACGAGCTGTTGCAATCACTAGGAAGGGTACAAGTTCTGCTGCTTCTAATGTTGTCGGGCCATCGCCTTAAATGGAGCTGCTGCTTTATAGCTTTGAAAAGAATGAAGGGGATCAGCTTGGCACTGTAGCTCCATTGAGTTAACAAGTCCTCTATTCATTCTTTTAACCCCTCTGTGCCTGTGTTTATATGCACCTGCTGTATGGCTTTAGCTGCTGCCTCTCAGCAGTATCTGCTGCCATTCAACTCCTCTGTTCCCAGGCACAGAGTCTCTCTGAGGGGGAGTTAACGTGGCAGAGGAGCACACTGGAGAACTCAAAACTCTTGCAGTAGTCAACAGCATTTAGCTCATGAGTGTGAATCAAAGGACTTGCCTAAGACCGAATTTGTTGCAGAGTTGAACTCTGTCCTCTGTTGTTATAATTTTGAAACACAATCTAGATATTTAAAAATATTTCTTAAATTCCATTGTACTTGCACATGGAGATCCAGTGGTCACTCTTGAAATGTTTTCTCCTGAAGGAATGGTTTCTGCATCCAAGGAGAGTGTCTCGTATGTGCTGAATAACGAAGGAGGTGGCCACGCATCCGTCATTGTGATCGGAGGAGCAGAGGAGTCTCTGAATGCACATCCTGGAAGCCTAACACTGAACATCCTCAAGAGAAAGGGCTTTATTAAAATGGCCCTGAAACATGGGTAGGTTTCCCATTTAGGCTGATGTAGTAAGCATGCTTTGAATGCAGATTGATTCTTAAATATAGTTCATATTATATAAACTTAGAGTCTTTGAAAGTTACTTGTCTAAGAACATGCAGATATCTGGTACAGGAGTGAGCCTGTCCACCTAGATCCTATCTGGGAGTGTTGAAAACTCCCTTTGACTTTCATAATTTGTAAACAGTAGGTGTTATTAGCATGTCTTTTGTTTCATTTGTTTCTTGCACTAGCAAAGAGTAAGAATTATGAAACATTATTAGTAAACCTTGGCTGGTTTTGCTGAGTAGAACAAACATTCTGTTGTCTGGTCTGTAAATGGAAGTTACATTAAGATAGACTTTTCTTATCAATTTAAGCAAACAAACAAATTGAAAAGCCAGGCCCTGTTTTATTAAATCACTGAAAATCTGTGGTCGAGGAAGATCTGCTTTCACCATTATTCTAAAGACTTCCTTTTGAAGATTGTTATTTGCAAAAGTAAGTTCCTGGGAATTTTTGGTGAAAAACTAGCTTACTTTTTATTATCAAGCAGCCATCAGTGTGTAACTAAACAGAGATTGTATTATCTTTTGAGTGATTTACATATTAGAAGCTATTGTGTTTGTTCTGGACTGGTCTAGATGGCTTGTATATTAGAAATATTGGAACCAATGACTTGTACCTGATAAGCTTTCTGAAAAGCTCCCAGGATTATATATTGACATGTGAAGCAATGAGAAAGAAATACTAGTCTTGAGAAATCTGTAACAGCTTTTTAAGCTATTAACTGGAAAAAGGTGGTCTACAAGAAGAGCACTCTGTTTTCACACAGGATGCTAAGGTCTGTTCTAGAAACTGTTCTGTGTCAAAATTCCAAGAGAGTTTCTTATACGTATGACTAGGAGACTCAGAAAGGACCTGTTTGCCAATAGAAAGTAACATTTTAGTCTAATTTGCACCCAGAAACACCTCTTGTGTATTTGAATTAGAACTTTAGCACCTAAAGGAGTCTTTACTCATTTTCTGCTCAGCTGCTGATTAATTCAGTGGGATCCTCAACACTCTCAGTAGCTTTTACTTGTTTTAACCATAAAATTTAGAAGAATAGTTAGGTGCCCTTTTTTTCTCTTTTTTTTTGGCATGTTGATAAATGTCTGGTCTGTCAGATCACAAAGGCTGGTCATTATCTCTCATCTAAATTGATTTGGATTGAGAAATCAGATACACCTGTGCCTGTCGTGGCCTTGATTTCAAAAGCATCTCTAACACATAACAAGAAGATCAGGACACTTACAAAACACAGGAATGGCTGCTGTGGGACAATATGACTCTAACAGAGCTCTTGCCCAAAGATTCTGCATCCATTAATTGCTTCGGGTTTTAATGTTTTGTTTCTAAAAAGTAACAAAATGTGAAGAAAGCTTCCAACTAATGTGGCAGTGAAAGGGTAAGGGAGGCTTGCGGGACATGGATGAGAAGAGCCACCTGCCATCAGTGCCTGCACACATTCCTGGTGCTCATGAACTGCAGCATCAAATACCAAGAGAGGAAGGGGCAATGCAGAAAGCTGTCCTCTCTGCCCCTGGCTTCTGTGCTGCCAGCACTGAGAAGCTGTGTTCCTCAGCTAGGAACTTGTCAAAAGTGGTCTGAATATGTCAGCAGAAGTCCTGCACTTATGCAAAAGATATTGTGGTCCAAGGTAGTACAAATATCTGATATGGAGTGAAGAAATCTTAAAGACATGAAACAAACGGCGAATCAGCTGACTTATCTTTAGTTTCATAACCATAAGTTACTTATTTCTCTGTCTCAGCCTCCTACATAGCATCTTGCAAAAGCTTTCACCAGATTAAAACAAATCCCACAGTGTCAGGGTACTATTGCACCACACGATATTCCTGTTTGTCTTAGTGATGGAGTTAAAAGTGGAGTTTTTACATGGCCACAGTAAGTACCAGGCTTTATAATATTTCCTTTACAGGTGGATGCTGATATGTGCTCCACTGGAGAAAGAAACTTCGAGCAGACACCAGTCAGAATAGTAGGTGGGAATGATAGCCTGTGTGAGTCCTCAGGCTAAAGAAGCTGTTGAAGCAGTTGATTTTTTTCTGTACTGGTGGGTTTTGATTGTCCACAGTATTTTCCTGCCAGCTCTGTCCTCAGTGCATCCTCCATCCTCCTCAGGCATTCAGAGCCATGCAGAAATTCATCCTGACAATATTATAGCAATGCTGCTATTTTACAGTAAGGTTTTCCTCAAAGATAACGTGGACTGCATGGAGCTAAAATGTAGAAGCTAAAACTTAAGTAAAGCAAATAAAACATCTATGAATCCTTCAGAGACTACTTAGGATTACCCTGCTCTTTTTTTCTCTAAACTCTGTAGAATATTTAATGAAACTAAGCATTATTCAAAAAGCATACTGCAGTCAAGGTTTTCAATATAATGGTGGGTTTACCTGCTGGAGACAACTGCACTGATTCCATCTACCCAAGTAGTTTGTCCAGGAGTCAGTGCCTTTCCTGCCAAGCCAATTCATGAACTGAATGAGAATTCATTAGGCTGTACAAGAGCCAAAGCGAGTTCATGTAATTTCTGTGGGTAGGATTTGACCTCTGGTAATAATGGATTAAGGCTGGTGTTTTCAAAGAAGTCTGGAAGAAGCAGGATTTCACTGGGAACTGGACAGCAGAGGAGAACTTTGGCATTGCAGTCATGTCTGTGAGGATGTCTGTTTTTTATCATGGCTTTTAAGCTGAAATCAAGGGCATGCATTATGCCAGTCAAAAGACAAAGGCAAGCCAAGATCTGGTTTTGATGCCACCCAGCTGGGAGCATTATAAGGTTAGAAATGAGGCTTCTTTGCTTCCCAATGGAGAAAATGTAGTGCAGCAAGTGTGGACTTGCTGAAACAGAAGTGGATAAACTCGTACTTATGATATATACAATTACTCACTTTTATGATTACGAACAGTCATAACAAGTTGCAATAGGTACAACCAAACACTGCCAAAAGCTAGTTGCTAGTTGTATGCCTATCATTTTTTTTTTTTTTTTAAACACAAACCACCCAAGGCATCAAAAAGCAGCTGCACATCAGAAGAGTTGAGTGCCTGTTGCTGATGAAATCTAAAGCTGCTGAAGCTTTCTGTGCTGGGTATTGTGAAACTGTTTCCACGCTGCTGATGTGAACTGCAGTGTGAGTGCAGGCTGATGTGGGGTTCTCAGTGCCCTCTTTGTTTTACAGAGCTCATCTGGTTCCGGTGTTTTCCTTTGGGGAAAATGAACTATTCAAACAAGTTGCAAACCCCAAAGGCTCGTGGCTCAGAAACATACAGGAGAAGCTGCAAAAGATAATGGGCTTTGCTTTACCCCTGTTTCATGCTAGAGGAGTATTTCAATACAGTTTTGGCTTAATACCTTACAGGCAACCTATTCATACTGTTGGTAAGTTCCCTGTGCCTTTTCTAATGTTTTTGCAAATGTTTAGAAATTCATCAGTGTGCTGCTTTATAAATTTGTTATAATAGAAAGAATTGATTATTGTGCATCTAAAACCAGTATGTGAGATTTAAACTATTTTTCTTTAATTGCTATCCTTCCCAGTTAAAAGGGGAGGTTTTCTTCTCCCTTTCCCCTTTCTGCCCTAGGCCATATCATACTCTTCATTCTCAGTTACTCCCAGGCTTCTATCCTTAGCAATCCACAAAGAAACGCAAGGGTTGTCCAGTCCATACCAGAGGGATGCCACGGCTCTCCAGCTGTTGCTGTGGATTCTGGATGCTGGAGTTATTATGTTAGAAGCCCAGAACCTTAATTTCTTAGCTCTGCAGAGAAGTAGCAGTTGGGTGATGCCACCACAGCAGTGCTCTGGGGCAAGGCTACTGGAAGGAACTTGTGTGGTCCTGACCTGGTGTTCATCAGGACAGAGGGAAAGACGGAGGAGGAAAGGGAGAGGGCACCTTGCAGCACCTCTGCCACAGCCCTTGGGCTTTGCAGGTCTTTAGGATGTTTCCTTCCCTTTTGGTTTTTTCCCCATGGAAAGATCCAGTCATGTTTACTTGTGAGTGTTCATGCCAAAACAGGCAGTTTGGAAGAGTGTTTTTCCCCGAAAGTTTTCATTACTGGTCATCTCTTCTCACTGGAGTGAGGAACTGAATATATTTTTAAGGGCTTTAACTAGTGCTATTGACAACCACACTTTTTTTAAAAAAAAAGTGATGCTGGGCATCATGCAAAAGCAATACTTCTCTGTCTTTATACTTTTTGACAAATAATTTTTTGCCAGATTCTGACTGGAGTGAGCTAATGAAGCCTTTTTCCAAAGAAAAGTAAATCAAGCTTTTCTGCTGTTCCACAAGGGACATTTAATGTGGCCCTCCCTTTAATGGAGGGATGATTTGATTTTAGTATGAAGCAAATAAAAATGTTTAAGACAAAAATGTATCTCTTATGTTAAATTTCATGCAGATCTGTGTTTTATCACTTCATGCAGTTAAATATTTTGAAAAGATTTAATTTTTAAAACCCACGTTGTTCACAGGTAGGCTAAAAATGTCACTTATTTTAAAGCCAGAGAGTTAAGAAAGCATTGGAATGAGATGTATTGGATGACCTAAAATGTATTTTCTGCAATTTTTCCTTTGGCTGATGACATTGAGACTGTTCTGAAGCTTAAAATGTCTTACTCCGAGTCAAATCATCTTTGAAATATTTACTGCAAGTGCAGAGGTGGTCCCTGGCAAGAGCACAGGAGTGCTACAAATCAGCAAGACCAGAGTCTTGCAACAGAACTCATAAGATCTGATGAAATCCTTTACCTTTATCTTTCCTCATGTTTGAGAACTGTCACGATGTCCTTGGGTCCTTGGAGGTGTGTGTGGGTTATTCTTGGTATGGCTCAACATGGCTTGGAAAGCATTGGCTCTGCTCCTGAGAGCTGCAGAGTCACAGTGAGCTCTACCTGAGCCAGGTTCACAGATTGCAGAGTATGCTGAGTTGGAAGGGACCCACAAGGATCACCAGTTAGCTGTGTTGACAGCGTTTTACTCCTGGTTCAGAAGTCATGGATCCTAAAGCCATTCAGCTAAGCCAAGGTTTGTGCAGTCTGAGTGGTTTGGGCTTGATCAGTACTTCTGTTTTTCCTGAAAATTATTTCTGCTTTTCAGAAATAGAAACAACTCTCAAATATCAAATTAAGCAGGTTTCTTAAAGCTGCACATAAAATTAGGGAGATGAGTGTAGTTTCTAATTCCACAAGAAATCTCCACTCTTGGGAGAAGAGGCTGTTGCAGAAGGGCTTGGGGTTTGTTTGCTGTTTCCAGTCTTGCTTCTGGAAATCCTGTATTGTATGTATATTGATTTCATACCCCCTAAGGTATTGCTCAATCCGGGGCTGGGTTCCCAGTCCTATCCACGTAAAGTCTGAATTTCAGCACCACACAGGGCCTGAGAGCTGTTGGCAGCTGAAGCTGCAGCAGGAAAATGCAGACTCAGCCTCTCTGTGGTTCTGGCTAGGCTTCCCTATAGTCAACACCATCCAATTTGAAGTGGCAACATCTCTTGAAAGGGATTTTCAGGTGCCTCTGGAAAAGCTCCTGGGAGTGCTTTTAACTCTCTGCTTTTCTACAGATTTTCTTTGTAATCCAGGTTTGGGTCTTGGTGCCTCCAGTGCCAGAACAGCTGTCAAAATCTGCAGTGATTGAACAACACAGGGAAGACTGAGATCATGGGAAGCTTCTCTTAGCACATCACAGGCTTTTTAACAATAGCTTTTTGTAGAGGAGGAGACTGCCCTCCGGACTTCCATGTTCCCTCTTGCTCTCGCTCTGATGGAGCAAGTAGCAGGCTTTGCAGTACCTGGAGAACATTTTGGTTGCAATTACATTTGTGGGCAATGGATGGTTCAGAGACACCTTAGAGGGTCTGGGAGTTTACATGCTACCGTAGGCTGAGGTCACTGACAACATTTCTGGCGCAGTGATACCCATTCTGTAAAAAAATGGAAGGTAACTGTGTTTCCTGCAGTCCTGTTTTGTGACTGTGTGGTTGAGGGCACCACTGTTGTCTTAGGCATGTCCCACACACTGAATAGCTTCAGTATTCGCATCAGAACAGAAGACTGTGAGAAAGTACATTTTTTAAATACTATGTTGAACTTGTGGACAGCACGTAACCCGTGGGATTGTATCTTGCAGTGTAAACTGCTCCTTCAAGTTAGAACTTAATCCCCTTCTCACTTGCTCTTTTGCTGCCAAACTGAAATGGTGGGGGTTTTAACTGATTTTACCTGAACTTCAGCAAAAAGCAAGTGAAAAACCAGACCCTGGACTCAGGTTTGTGAAAGGCAGGATCAGGCCCCATGGCAAGAGAATTATGCTGTGATTCTGCCATCTCCCTGGGAGCTGCGTAGCATCTGTTACAAGAGGGACAGCAATTCTAATTTAAAAGGGATGTCAATGAAGCTAATGCTGCTGTTGTGTTTGATTTGCAGTGGGAAGCCCCATCCCTGTGAAACGGAACTTGAACCCCACCACTGAAGAGATTGATGAGCTACATGCATTGTATCTACAGAAACTAAGGCAATTGTTTGAAGAACACAAAAGAAATTATGGGGTCCCTGAGCATAAATCTCTCATCTTCGAATAGCAAATTACAATTGAAATTCCAAATCTCATGGAAAGAAACAGTATCTGCTGAAAGATATCTTTGTTGCAATCCATATTTTGCAATCTGTAATTATCCTTATGCAAGGAATACTTTTAAGAAGGGATTATTAGATGATTTTTTGATTTTTATCTTACCCTTGGGTGGGGGGGAAATCTTTGGGATATAAGCCTCAAAACCAGTGCTGTTTTGAGTTGTCCTTTTAGGTTTATCTATACCAGAAATGCAAGTGAGACATCTCACACAGATCTTCTTACCACCATGGTACCTAACCATAGCTTGAGCACAGGAAATTGCCCCAGCATGAGATCATGAGCAGGAAAACTATAAACCCAAGAAGTCTTTGATTAGAAGTTAAGAGACTTTCCAGCATTTATCAAATGTGGCATCAGGTTGTTCTCTGAGTCCCAGAAACCCCTGCTGCTCTTCCACAGAAATGAAGGTGTGTGTTTTCAGCAGATGGGTATTGTAAACCATTTACATGAGAATTCAAGAATAAATAGGAGCTTTCAGCCCTGAATAGGATATTGGCAAAGATGGTTTGTCTGAGTTAGGAAGCAAAGCAAACCTTCTGTTTGGAGGAGAACAGTGTGTTGAGCTTTTGTGCACGTGTGTGTGCTGGGTGGTGGGAAGCACTGAATGATGTGACTTTTTGGGACAATCAGTGTTTTGAATCATCTGTTTGATAGTTCCAGCTTCAGAGGAGATGGCAGGCACAGGACAGGAGAAGTGAGGGAATCATGTGAACTTTACACCTTGTGCAAAGTAAAAATGATCTTATGTCAAGTACTTGCACAGAAGGAGGGGGAGCCCCGTTTGCTCAGTCTTGTTCTGAATCTTCACCAAGGAAAATGTACTTGATAATGCCTTTTTCTTCCCCACTGACAGATGTGGGGAAGTATGTGTAAAGCTGCTCTGCAGTGTGACACAGCTGCAATGCCAAGGCAGTGTGAGCACAGCTGTAGGGTGCAGCAGGTTAAGAGGAGGCTTTGTATATAAACCAGGTGCCTAAAATTGTATCCTAAATGTGGATATCCATTTCAGAAAAAAAGGAAAAAAATCCAAGCCAAACTGTTTTTCAGTTAAAATGCCTAGGTGTTGGAGATTACGGTGTGTGGAGAGAATTGTAGTATATTACTGAATTTTTTATGAGATAAATTCTTGTGTTTCTACATACTTTCTATCTGCATGTGGACTTTGCAGATCTGATATTAATGAACAATTTGTTTTGCTTTAAGCAGTTTTGGTGCCTGAATATGACATCGATTAGGTGCTCTGGCAAGTTGTGCACAGGGTTGTCAGGCAGCCTGGGGCATCTGCAGATGGTTCAGTTCAGCACTGGGATGCTCCAGGAATAGCAGGACTGGGCACATTGTGTGCTTGCTGGGCTGGAGGCTTCTTAGAAGAAACACAGTTGGGACTTTGGGAACAAGGTAGAACTCTGTAAAGAAAATATCTTAGCAAGATGAAAATGTTTAAAGAAAAGAGTGGAAAGATCTCAACTCTGTTACAGAGTGAACTCCTAATGAACCAAAGCTCCAAAACCAAACAAGTATTTGCCAGACAGAGCAGATGTATGTGTTCCAAAAAACCCCCCAGCAACAAGTTGGTTTCCTCAGGAGAGCTCTTCCTTTTAGTGTATGGATGTGGGCAACAATGCGCCAGCGAATCCCGCTCTCATTTTCTCTTGGACAATAGGGTCTTTCTGGGAACCAGGGCTGGAATTTGCACTGCCTGAAGAAGCCCCTCTTCCCTGACAGACTGCTGTAAATGTGCCCATAATTCACCTCTACTTGAGCTTTCTTGCTGCCATATGTGTTTGCCCTCCCTTCCCGTGCCTTTGCTGCCTGATGATCACTGTGGTGTAGGCATCTTACTTCCTCACTCTCTGTCCATCTTTCCCTGGGTTGAGATCTCTGGACTGTCTGTGCATGGAAAATATTGAGTGGTGTCTTCTCATTCAGCAGAAATGGGTTTTAGGAACAGGGTTTGAGAAGAGGAAGCACTGTGACTGTACAGGTTTGACAGGAGTTTAAGATCAGGATTGTTTCAGCACTTGGAAGGGCGTGTTTCTAGGGAGGTCAAACACAGCAGGTTTTTCCTGGGCTGAGATTTGTAGGGTCCTAAGCATGGTACTAAGTGATGAGCCCTGAGCAGTCATTTTTCCTTAACCAGCTGTGTGAAATTTCCTTTGGATCTGTTTCTTTGCTGCCTGCCCTGATGAGTAGTGCTGATTATTCATGAAAGAAGAATTTGAAGTCCATGTCAGCCTGTTCTATCCTAGATCATCTGCTCTAATGAGATATTTCCTCTCATTCTGTTTGTTCTTTTTACATACAACCTGAGCTTCTATATCATAAAGTAATGTAAATTTAAAAACATTAACGTTGAGGTTGAGGATGGAAAGTAACAATGGATTTTTGTCGATCAAATTAACCAAAACTTCTAGGGAATATGCATTATTTATTATTATTATTATACTGATCTGGGGGCAATATCTGGTCCAGAGAGTACCTTAAAAACAGGCTTACCTGTGTTTTCCCTGAGAAAATTATCTGTGGGCTCTGAGTACCATCCATAACTGGCATAGGTAGAACAAGTAGGGACTGTGTTACTATGACTACTGATATTGTCATTGCTTTGTAACACAGGGAGATGGAAAAAAGAAAAAAGGAAAACAAGATCTCCAAGCTACTTAAATGTTTATTGTTGCTCAATAACTGCTGCCTGTAGTTTATAATGGTCCTTCCAAACTACCTTTCATTAACCAGTTGTCTATAGGACTACTTTAAAATAGAATTTCCATCTCTAAACCTGGTAGACATGGCATCATCTAAAAATTTTACTGTGTTAGTGTGTGGATTTGTAAAGCAGACTCACAATACTGAGCTTAAAGGCCAGACTCATGGAAGCCAGAGACTCATTTTGGCCAGTGAAGGCACCAATCCCACCACTGCTGCAGCCACGAGGAGGCTGCCCATGTTTGTTGGAGTAACACAGTCTTCATTTGCAGTTCATGCTGGACAAAGCAAGAGCCAGTAGGAATGGTGGCACCCCCTCCCCAGCTGTGACTAGAAGAATTGGGTAGTGCTTAGATTTCTGATGGGTTGACCACACTGATTGGGGTCTGCTTCGTGGTGTGTTTCTCTTTGTGCCTTTTAATGCCATAGGTAATCCCAGGGAAGGGATTTTAATGCCACAGGTAATCCCATTGACAGAGATGCTCTGCCTCTATACCATGCAAACGCTGCTTCCCCGACGTGCTCAGGATAACAGTAACTGCCTGTTCCCTTGTGTGTGAACATCTCTGTGCCAAATTTTGTTTACAGAAAGTCAGTCCTCAAGTATTTTTACTTTGTGAACTACAAAGCATCTTTTACACTTTGTAACTTTTTATGGTGCCTGTAAAATATGAACATCAATTGTTTCAATGATAGCTGTGGCAAGATGTGAGATAATAAAGGTTTGTATCAAAGTGGGCTTGTGTTGACTGAAATTCAGATATGTACCACTGCTCCTCAGGGGGTCATATGTGCTCATAGCATGCTGAGAAATCAGGGGGCAGGGAAGGTGGATGGATTGCTTGCTGCAGTCTCCTGAAGGATCACCAGAAACCAGGTTCCTGCTGGGGTTCCAAAGGATCTGAGGAACAAGTGACCCACAGCAGGGAAGGGCTGGGCTGCAGCAGCCCACAACCAGGAGCTCAATGCCAAAAGGGCACAACAGGGAAGCTAGAGCATGGGAAGGTGGGCAATCCCCTGAGGAGCTGGTGAAATAATAGTTTTTGGAGTTGAATTCAACTTCAGTTTTAAGACAAGTTTGAATTTTACATGAAACTTGCATCAAGGAGTCCAAAAGAAAGAAAGAAGAACAAACCCCAGAAAGAAGAACAAACCCTGCAGAGGCTCTGCTTAGCTCTAGGAACTGGAGAACTAAATAGCTGTTGGAGTAAAAAATGTGTCGCATTTGTCTTTTGGGAAGAGGAAAACCACTCACAACAGTGATGTACTTAATGTTTGGGTTTTTTTAAGTAGGGCAATGTTACACAGCACTAACAGCTGCAGTGACAAGTGTGAATTCCAAAGCCTAGGAAAAGCTAATTGTATTTTGTTACCATTTTAGTACTTTCTTTGTGCAATGATCCCATCTTGCATCTCAGTATACTGTAAAGAGGAAAAATGGATAAAAAGTGGCCTTGGATTGCTTTGAAGTAGTCCCATTATGTGTGTGCATGTGTAAATTGGAGGTGTGGCATGGTTCATCAATGGATCAAGATCACATCCTGGTTTTGCTGAAATACTAGAAAGAAGCATGTTATACCTGTAAAGCAAGAAATGGAGAAAAACAAGGAATGAAGAGGAACTGGACATTCATGCTTCTCAAGGTGCTGCAGCAACACAAATCCTGATCTCAACTGCTTGTGACAGGTAAGTGATACAGTGATAGTAAGATGGTTTTTCAATTGATGTTTCTTAAGCGTGGCATCAGTTTCCTGTCAGCTGAACTGCTGGAGCAGTGCCTATAGTGCAGATCCCAGGAGAGCCTTGTTTTTTTTCCAGTTTAACAGATAGAATAGAGCTGCAGAAAAAGAAGAGAAGAAGACAAAAGAGAGGAAATTAATTTACTTAATGTAGTCACATGCTGGAGAAATATATCCATCTAAAAAAGTGGCTAAAAGAAGGTGAGGAACCATATCCTTTTTGGTTGCCTTCCATACAATAAGTTTCACAAATAGAGCAAGCTTGGGAAAAGCCTTTTGTGGTGCAAAAACGGAGAGCTTCCCTTAAAGCATGCTGGGATCAAGAGATACTTGTTACCCAGTTGGGCAGGCACCTAACCTGGATCCTTTTCCATCTTGGGCAGTACTAACAATTACAACTGTTAGACAAGGGACATTTTCTGTTTGTGCGATTTATTTTCAGTTAAATTTCCTTCTGGCATGAATGGAGCCCCATTGCTTTTGGAATGGCTATGCTGAAATTTAATGAACAGACCAGGAACCTGGCATGTTGACTGTGAGTTTTTTTTTGGCTAACATGAGTTAACAGTGGTCTCATCTTTCCCTTCTGCAGTCAGCAAGCAGTATTTAATCACAGAGAATAAGTGTGTTGAGTGGAAAATTCTCACTCTCCCTATTTGCTGAGCACAGATTGTCCTCTGGAGACACGAACTACAGTGTTTTCCTGGGGAAATTGCTTAGGACTAATTCGCACACGTAATAATATGGACATCTGTGTGCTTTAAAATGCACTGGAAGTCCACGTTAAAACAGAAGCCAGGGGGTTTATTTGTTGCTAAAATCTGTGCCGTTTCTCGTTTCGGTGGCAGTTTCTGTAAGTGACACAGCATTGCCTCTTTAAGTTTCGGGAGGGCAGGAAGGGCTGGGCCGGGATGAGCCGTGCGGGCTCACGGAGCCCCCTCGCCGCCAGGTGACGCCCGCGGCGCGTTGCGGGAGCGGCTCCGCACCCTCCGGGCGGCGGGACCGGGATGCGGGGAGGAACCAGCAACCGGTCCTCATCTCCAGGGACAGGAGAGGGTGGGATGCCCTTGAAATTCTGTCCCTGGATACCACGGTTTAGGCATGTGCTCTCTCACGCTTCTAGAGCGGGAGGGATGGAAGCGTGCCCTGCCACGCCGCACGTGTGCGCTCCGCGGTGCCGTGACTCCCTGCTCTACTCGCTTCCAGAGCAGGAAGCCAGCGCAGGTGGGATGAGAGGCAACAGCGGAGGAGATGAGTTTGTCTTACTTCTCCTGCCTGCGGGAGCTGTGGGGCTGGCGGTTTGCTCAAGCTCTACGGAGCTAAAACACGCAGACTCTGCCTCCCGACTGCCCGGCTTTGGCGCGTTTGGTTTCTGCTCTGAGGAAGGTGCTGCTGCTCGAATGCCTTCGTTCCCTGGCTGTTTTCCTTCCGGTTCAGTGTTTCACCTGAAAAAAATTCTACGTATGACTCTGAAGCTCGACATTTTAATTCCTGAAGCTGGGAGGAGGAAGGAAGGCACAGAAAAGGTAACACAACTGCTGCTGCTCTGGAAGCCACTGAAATAGATCATTCCTTTTTGATCTTCAGCAAAAAGAAAAAAAGACCCTATGAAAAAATGTCTAATATTCTCAAATTGGAAGCCTGTTTACATTGTACCAGGGTTTATTTTTCAGTGTATTCCTCCTTTTGAGCGACTTTCTCTACCCACTCTGCTCCTCTGTACTTGCCACATTTCTCTGTGGATACTTTTGCCTTCCTCATTTGCAGTATCCTGTCCCACTGCTGTGTGAAGTGAGTGGCTTTGCTGATGATTGGCCGAGATGTTTTGTCTGCCATCTCCTACACAGTCACAGGTAACCCCCCTCTTTGGATACCCACTGCCCTTGGGGATGAGCAGAGAGGAGTGGGGTGTCTGGTACCTGAGCTGCTGCAGGTCTTGCCGTGGTGGCTGAGATGTCACCTCTGCTCCCTTCCCCATCTCCCTGATGGACGTCAGCACTCCTGAAGGAGAGCTGGTAGGACAAGATGCGTGTCCACATCTCAGCCTGGCATCTTGCCTCAAGCCTTCGTTGAAACTCAGGCTGGCAGCGACTGGCAGAGGCATGAGGAAGAGGCAGGTGTGGGCAGGAACATCTCTGGCTGTTGCCAAGACTCAATGCACTCACCTGTGAGCATCATCCCAGGAGAGCATCGCTGTGGTGCTGCACATGGGAGTGCTGGCAGGCAGATTTTAAGGCAATCGGATTCAGCTTGAGGTAGATGGCTGCAAGTTTAATGTCCATGCTCAGGCATTGAGGCTAATGGCTGAAGCATGCTGAGTGCAATATTAAACATCTCTAGACACTTGGTTCATCTTTTAATCTCTTATCTCTTTTGCTTGCAAAATCTAATTTTTTTAGGATATAAATGATTTAGATTTCTAATGTAAAAGAAGTATTGATGTGATTTATAATTAATTATGCTCTTTTTAAAATAATGATTAAATTTTACTGCATCTGTAAGTCACATAGAATAAAAAGGGCTTTTAACAATGTGTAAGTTTAGTGTCCCATGCCTTGAGTCTCAGCCAGTGATAGACAACCTTATCACATATTCTGTCATTATTACCTCCATCAATCAAAGTGTTATCAGCCATGAACCACAAAGAGATAAGTCTGTCATTTGATCGTAAAATCTGCTGAGGTGGAAAATATTTGCTTAACTGTAATATAATGCATGGGTGGAGGAAATTGGCATTATTACTGTAGCTGGGTTACCAATGGTGTCATATGAAATGCTGTAGTCCTGGCTACCATTTACAAATCAAGATAACCCATATTTTTTAACACTTTAGAATAGGAAAAGCAGTGCTGGAAATTCTGAAATACTACATGTCAATAATTTTTTGAATGAGCCATCTGAACACACTGTATTTGCACTCCTTCAGGGAATAAGCAGGCCCTATGTAAACACACCTGCTGCCAGAGGACATTTTACCTGAGTAATGACTGTAAATTAATCCTATTAGATTGGACTCAAGTTGTGACAAGTAGAAGTTCCCAGGAAGTGCTCCACCTTTCTACCTTCTCCTGCCTGACAGATGATGTGCCTTTCGAACTGGACAGCTTTCTGTGACCTCTCGTTTGAAGGAAACGTGTTTTAGGACTTTGATATATAAATAGTGTCTAGTGGCTTGACTTCACCATGGCCCATGTCTTGGTGTAAGGATGTCTTTCTTTTGTGGATCTCTTTGCTGGAATTTTTCATCTGAAGGTGCAGAAGTGGGGTACGGGGTCAAAGTTGACAATTTTCTTTTGAAATGAGGGGTGCAATACCCTCTTTAAACCTGCCTGTTTTTCATATGTAGCTTTTGCGTCCAACTCCTCCATCCTGACAGCAACGAGGGAACAGTGCGACAGGTTTTTTTTCCCAGCACTGGTCAGCATCTCCTCACTCCAAGTGACTGTGCTGCTCCTGAGGAGAGCGGTTTCCCTGCTGACGGCCCAGCCCGTAACATCAAGTGCTCTCCGAACAGTAGCTGACAGGGCTAATCTGCATTACATAGGATTAAACAGGCACAGTAATTAACTTGCATAAGCGCTTTAGCAACTTTTGGCCTTTGAATTGCCGTGTGTCCTGTATATTGTGGTGCAGAGTCTCTGTAAGCTGGGGGTCAGCACGGGGCGGGAAGGGGAGGGGGGATGGAAGTTGGGGAGAAGAAAACAGAAGCTGAAATTCCAGCCGCCAACAGTGAGCTGGAGAGAGAAAGCACGGAGTCAAGCTGAAATAGCTGTTGTCATTTTTTTCAGGGGTCGAGGTGTGCTGAGTATCATACAGGTGTGTCGAAAAGGCAGTATGGGCACTGGTATCCACAGCTCTCACTGAATCCACTCAGCTATGAAAGGAAAAACTTCATTTCTAGTCCTATGTTAAGTGTTATTCCCAGGTGAGAAGTGAAGCTGTATCCAGGAATTTACTTCTTCAGTTTTATGGTGTTTAGTCATCACAAAGCATACCTTCAACTAATTCTGAACTGCTGTGCTTGGAAGATTTGGTTCAAATGAGCAACCCTAAGCTGAACTAAAATGTGGATATGTCAATAAACTCCCTCAGCCACTATCCTCACATGCTGGATTCTGCTCTGTGACCAAATGTCTGTAGTCTTTAAGGCATTCATCCCAAGAAGCACTACAGAAGTAAGTCCAAAGCAATGTATCTTTTCACTGGTGTATGGCAACTCTTAAATATATCTGATGCAGCTTATTCAGATCTGCTTTGAATCAGAAGAACAGCAGGGAAGGTTAAAATGCATTTGCTTGTAGCAATTTCTCTTTCTTTGAAAACATATGGTTCCAGGGGAAAGGTCTCAAAGTTAGCAGGAAAACTTGAGAAGATTTCACTTCCCCACTATACAGCATGTTATCCTGGGTCTTATGTGTGAAGCTTGTTTTGATTTTATATGAGGCAAAAGCGAGAAGTCACCAGCAGGTCAGCTGAAATTTCTATACCTTGAGAAAAAAGTCTTGATCCAGTCTGACTTGTAGACAGTGTGAGTTTCTTGTTTGTTTAACTTTCAACTCAGGATCCTCTTGCAAGCCTCACAGGAATGTGTTGTCAAGACCTTTTTGCCTTTCTGGAAGTGTTGTCTTTGGACATTTCAGAGCAAAGCACTGAAAGTTTTCTCATCACCCAGATAGTCCCATAGCAGTCCACGTGTCTTGGGAGCCACTGAGCCACTTCACTGCATACAGCTGAAGTAAACAGAACCCTTAGGTATGATGGACCTCAGTGCAAAGCCACAGACCCTGTGGGAATGAAGCACTTCAGAGAGACACATTTCAGTCTTAAAAACCTGCAGTAACCTTGGGAGAAGTTACTCACACCAACAGATAATCAGCTCAAGAGGATTTCACTTACAGGTAATGATGGTGCAACAACTTGCCTGTGCAAAAGCAAATACAAAAGGGGAAATTGTTCTCAGTCCTTTTAACCAGGTAACGGGTCTGGTCCAGTAGCCTGAATGTGGTCCACAAGTCAGGACAGTGGATTGGCAAACAGGGAGCAGGTTCACAAAGGACTAACCATTTTGTAATAAACAAATCAGAGTTCATTAACTGATTGCCTTGGGATTCAGAATGGGCCCTCATCCTCTGTGCCTCGGTTTACCTCTTTGGCCAGAGCATAATTAATGCTTCCCAAGTATCTGCTGCTGCAAATTGCTGGAAGTGTAGCTAGATCCCAAAACCTGCTGGCACTCACTGGCAGGTATGGCTCTGTGTGTGACAGGCTGTGTGACAGGCTGCTTCCCCTGCAGCACCTGGGACCCCACTTGTAATAACCAGTCTGTACAAACACTGGTGTAAAAAGTGAAGAGAAAAGCTGTTTTAGGGGCCTGATCCCAGCAAATGCTGATTTTTCTTGTCTCTCAAAATCCAGTGCTGAAACACTGACCCTCTCTGCAAGGTGAGCAGCTCTATCTGGAGTATCTTGAGAAGTTCATCCCCCTCTGATGGAAACCACCCATGGATGTGATTCTTATCTCAGTCTGGGCATGCTGTCAGTGGAGGTAAAACTAGTAAGTGATATTGTCATCAACTTGGATCTTTTTTAAGCATTGAAGTTTACCTTCATAGAAGAGAGAGCTCCTAGATTCCTTCCTCAGACAAAAATTTTTGGTTTAAAAGCTGGTATAAACTCCAAAATCGACCTTTTCTATAAGAGTTGGAAAATTAAATGGACATATTATTAATTATTATTATTATTTATCCATTAGTAAAAAACAAAATACGTAAGAAAATAATCCACACTTGAAATAACAAAACCAAAAGTATGAATGTAATAACATAAAATGACTTTGAAGTTAAATTAATTGTTTTAGAACTGGAATCCTAAACCCCATGTCTTGTTTCTACAAGAATCTCTTCATTTGATTTTGTATGACGATAGCCTGGCACTCTGAACCCTTGGGAAAAAGGTAATCTGTTTGGATACCTGCATGGAAATCTGCAGTTCTCAAAGTGTTTATCACACTATTTGTCTACAGTCCGTCATGGTGGCAGCTGGATAATAATGTTGACGTGCTTGATATTTATGTGGTGTTATTACAAATTTTGCTAACACATGCGATGTATCCTTTTCAGTATTGCAAGGATATTCTTCTAATATTGCTTGACTGTATTGCTATGTTTGTCTAAGATTTCACAGTGCAAGATGGTAAGACCTGGAAAAAATAGAGAAGAGCATGAAATTGACTCTTTCCATGTAAAATTGGCAATCAATGCCATTGCACATTTTACACAGTTGCATCTAAAGAATCAGATTCTGCTTCCAATGAAGATTTGTATGGCAGGGCCCCTGTGACACCTTCTGATATAAATGCAACTTCTTTGCTTAAGGCGAAGTGGGTATTTGTAAAAGGGCATCATTTCAGCTGTGTGCTGAGATTTAAGATGCTCCTCAAAGGCCAGGCTATGGGGTACAATGTCTTCTGCTTCATTCACAATTCCTGGTCAGTTTGATGCCACTCCTGACCCCATCTACACAACGGGAGGGCTGCTCTGCCCTGTGGTGCTTGAGGAGCAGTCGGGCACAGCCTGCTTAGCTTGGCCTGTCTGCAAAGGCATCTAGATTGCCTTTGCCATGGTAGTGACTCACTCGAGTCACCTGCTGCTCCCATTCAAAGGTTGGAGTGAGAATGGGGCTGAGCCAGGCTCTGACATCAATGGGAAGTGGTCTCAGACGGCTACGGAGACTGATTGTCTTCACTTAATCTGTGAGAAAGCAAAACCAGCTGTCATTGGGCAGTGCAGATGGGCAGCTGCGCTTTTAATCACTTGCATTAAAAAAAATATGAAAATTAATTGGAGTATAGTGTACAACTGTCCCCAGTCGTGCTTCTGAGGCTCCATCATGGCCACCTGCTGGCTTGTCCCCTCTCCAGCCCTGGCTGCAGAGGAGGATTTGTTTCCTTCTCTTTTTTAAGCTATACCCTTGATTGCACAGGAAAACTGTGCTCTTGGCCAGGGTCCAGAGTTGTAACTCTGTTGCCAGAATTTATTAACACAGCACCAACCGACCCTCTATATCACTTAATCTTTTTTCTGATCATGATTAGTACAGAGGTACCTTTGTAATGCACCAGGACAGACGTCTGATGTAATGCCAGTGCTGCTAAGGGCTTTCATTATTACTTGGGATAACCTTCAATTAAATTTTCAACAGAAAAATAGCTTTTCCTTGTGTGTGCACTGGCACTATATTCGAGTTTATGAGGTATTGAAATAAACAATATTGCTAAAAAAACCAGTCTGAGCTTAGGTAAAGCATGATTTCTCTACACCACAGTCAGCTAGATCTCCTATTTTAATAATTTATAACCATTTGAAATACAAAGAATTATAACATAATGTCCAGGTTCTGTTAATGTGTGAAAAGGGCTGTGCAGCTACCTCGAAATTTTGGTTAGGGGCTCGCAGCAAAGGAGCTACAATGGATGGGAGATGTAAAAAGTTCCTTAATGAGTAAATAAGCAGTTCTACATGCACGTGTGTGCATGTAGGTAATAAAATGGCAGAACTTTCTGTAGCTAATTTCTTATTAGCTCTTAGAAATTTTGAATGATGGCATTTCTTTTCATGAGCTTTCTTAGTTCTCTCATGAAGCACTGAAGTCTAACCTCCTGGAGTATGAAGCAATCTGAGGGTTGTCATTGCTCTACAATAGCCCAGATCAAATTAATATTGAAGGGAAGTTTGATTTCTTTTGTTGTTTTTTTTTAAATGTTCATTTGTTCCATCAGCACTCTAATCATCAGTCCTAGGCTTGTTCCACCTTTTTACATGAAGTGCACACCTGGATTCTCAAGATTATTGCATTTAGTACAGCAATATTGATGAAATTAGGTGAAACCTTTAAAAATGTACATATACCCAAAATTCACCTGGATTTCTTTCCTGTTCAGATCCCTCAAAAATGTCCTGTTTCATCATCAATTTCAAACAAATCCTTGCAATTGAAGAAATAGGCACAAAGAACTAGAGAGGGGATCTGGATGGAGGTTTTCTGGTTTTAAGTCTGAAGAGTGCAAATCTGACTTCACATATGAAGTCCGAGTGTAGTTAGGGGACCCATGCCATGATTTCAGCAGCAAGTGAATGAGGACTGAACAAATTAATTCACTGTGGCTGAATCGCAGCCTTAATTACATGCAATGTAAGGTAATGACAGTCTTGGGCTGTGACAGCAGGTTGCTGGTATTCTCACTGCTCACCTGCTGCTCATGCCTCTCCCGCAGGGAGGAAGCTCCATTTTGTTTATTCCCTCAACTGAATCATTTCATTTCAACTGTGACCAGGGCTGAGGACACAGCAGCTGATCAGGGCTCCAGGGGGTCACCCCTTGCTGGAGGAGAAGCCTGGTGGAGCCTGAGCCTTAGATGTGGGCTGGTAATGCTGCAAGGAAGCTGAGAAGCAATGCCATGGATTTCAGTAAGACATGAGAGTCATCCCTGGATCTGCACCCGCCTGAACGCCAGAGGTATTTGGATACAGAGTGAAGTTTTTATCTAACAGATGTTAACAGAAATGCTCTGACTTGTGGGGAAGGGGATTTACTCATGCTGTTTTTAATTCAGCAGTGAGAAAAGGAGGGCCTAGCTTCACTCTTTGGAACTGGCCATCACTGCCCAGGGATGTCTCTAATTTAAATGTCTGTTGGTGGCCCTGGCTGGTGCTCAGCCCTACAGCCCAGCAAGAGGTTTCCTGAGCTAGGCCTGGTAAAAATAAAGAGATTGGGATTTGGTTGTCTTTTTGTTTTGATGTGTAAATCTTTTTCTTTAATGGGCAATAATATTGTATAGGGAACTAGCGATGGATTAAAAAGAAAAGTAATGAAATAGATTCATAGAAAAAAACATGGATGTGTTAAGAGCATTTTTGTTTTGTTTCCCTTATTGCAAGCCTCTTCATGTTTCTAAGACCTTGTCTGAAATGGGCTCTTAGGCTCTGCTTGGATTATAACAGTGATGCCAACTGCTGGTGCAGATATGCTGCCACTAAATACACAATGGCTGGAGCAGCAAGTACCCACTGAAAATGCAAAGTATGGAGGGGAGAAGGGAAAGGAGCGTGCATGGGGCAGGCTGTGAAGTGTAGAGTCCAGTGGTAGTTTTTGGTGGAGTGTTTGTTTATTTTTGCTCAGGATATGAGTAAGAGAGGACTCAAATAAAAGCCACCAGAAAGTGAGGTGGTGCCAGGCAGGTGGTACAAGAAATGGTGAGGAGTCACCTGCCCACCCACAGGCAAGGATGTCAGTCATTAGCATGCAGAGAACTGTCTGCAGTGAGGCTGCTGTGGCCCCCTTTGCTGGTATCCAGCAACAAAGAGGCACACGAGGCACGTCAGCCTCCCAGGTATTTACCCACATACCTACGGCCAGGCTGTGAATTCTTCAGTTCAGCAGGAGCCAACACCCTCCTAACCCAACAGCAGTTTGGCTCAAGCGAGAGGGATGTGATCTGGGTTTTTAGTTACCAAGTCTTGCATCTAACTGAACCTCCTGCGGGGGAGAAAGGCTGATCTTAAGCTCGTAATTCCTTGTTTAGATGTGACTTAAAATAACTGGCTTTGGGGAGCAGCAGTGCCTCCACTGATCCCAGTGAGAACTGTCATCCTGCCAACACTGGCTGCAGGTCCCAGAATTAACACTGCAAATGACATCAAAGGCCCACTATCCTGCCTTCCTTATCACCCGTGAAGGACTGAATGAAAATCAAGACCAAGAGCTGCTCCAGCCCACCAAGGCCTGAAGAACCTGGCTCAGTTTTACCTTCCCTCCCTGTCTCATTGCAGCAGAAGCTGTCAGCCACTGCCTAGCTGGGCTAAGGGTCAGGGAATGCAGCTGATGAGAGGTGATCACTAAACCTGTCATGTAGACAGGCTGTTACCACAAGCAATGATGATGAAATAGGATAGAGATGCATGAACTTCTAATTTTTTTAAAATATATCTGGCTTTCTGTGAATAACTACTTGCTTGTCAGTTCAGGTCATCCGTAACTAGCTCATGCTGCCACATTTTGAAATTTTAGCTCATGGTGGAAAAATAAAAGCACGTAGGGGAGAGGTGTCACTAACAGCAAGTGATGAATCCTGGCACTGTCAGCATTTTGGATGATGTGAACACATCTCCATGCACTCAAGTAATCTGTATCATTGTTACTCATCATCATGTGTCTAACCATAACTATGCTTTTAGTTACATGGCAGCAGAAGTATGCACGTTGTTTTCCAAGTATGAAAAGGCCTTTTCCTTGTGGCTGGAGCCTCACATGCTAATTTGCCAGCCTCTAGACTTTGATCCTAGTCTAGCACAACTGCTGTAAGATCAAGGGCTGTGTTCCAGGTACCACAACAAGCGATGAAGATGATGGAGAGCAGGGGTCACAGCAGCTGAGTTGTACATGATTACAGTTCTTGCAGAAAGGGAAAATTCAGAATTTTCACAGGACCCAAACATTTAATTCAACAGGAGGATTACCTGTGTGTTGGCCTGCCCTTCCCTGGTACCAGTTTTGTTGTCCTCTTAAAAGAACTGTCATTGAAATATAACATCTTCCTCTTAAATACCAGCGGAAGTTCCCCTGCCAGCATTTCCAGCTGGCCACAGCTGGGCTACTCTGCAGCTGGCACCTCAAATGTGACTTTTTGGGAACTTAGGTTAGCCAATTCCTATGATATCATAGCATATATATATTTCCTAAACCAAGAACTGGGTTCTGTAAGCAATAAGTGTCTCTTGAAAGCCACACTGTAAGCCTCAATCTAAAAAAAAAAAAAAGAAATCTTGCAACACAAAAAATGTTAATAGCAAATCTAGGATTCATCCTTTGAACTCTGGATTCAGAGCCTGTCAAGATTTCAGACTTTGTTTATAGAAACACTGATGTCTTATTTGCTGGGATGTTTTTTTAGACGAAGACTAGTTTTCATTTTGTATTTGTCTCTGGTAAATGAAACATAAGAAAACCATGGGTTCTCCAAGGCTGACTATGAGGGCTAGAAGTACTTTGGGAATGGTGCTTTCAGCAGGCAAAAGATATTACTAAATATAATACCAAACCATTAAATAAGGGTGATGGGGTGTAATCTGTTCCACACTGCACGATTATATGTTTGCAGAATAGTACCATTGAATTTCTAAAATCAAACTTCAAGCTAGATTTTTCTCTTGCTTAAAAAAGTATCAGCTTCTTTTCATGGTGTAATGACTGTGATGTTGATTATTACCTTCAGTGCTGGGTACTGAGGAAGGGATGAATGGAGTAATAAAAAGGTATAAAGGGCTCCATGAATTGGTGTTGAAAACTGTTAAGGATAGAAATAAAGACGGATCAATTAAACAGATTTTTTCCAGGAGCTTTATCCTTTGACATAATCAGAGGAAACTTAATATTGCAATAAAGTCTGGTATCCCTTGCACTTCCTTATTTTTAAGGAAGTAATAAGGAGAGTTTAAAGCCTTTTAAAATGAGTTTATTAATAAATATTAGTTCTTAATGGTTTGTATCATGCTTTCTTTGTCTCAGATGGAACAAAGCAAATGACACTTGGTGACAGTTTTTCTAGCTGATCATAACCTAAAGGCATCCAGATTTCACACACTGATTAGTTATTCCACAAGATACTTTCAGTAGCACCATTCATTATTCACTATTACCTTTATATCATGGTAATTACAGTGTCAGCTGAGTAGTCTAATTGTCTATTACACTTAAAATCTTGAAAAAATCATGCTCTAATGTATTGTAAGAATACCGTGTGCTAAGTCAGCCCTATAGTTTGCAGACATTTCTAACATATCCATGTACTACAAAACTATTGCTCTCATTTCTTTAACGTAAGAGATGAAATAGAACTTTAAGTGTATAGTGATCTAATATTTATCTGGTCTGAGATTTGACATCCATGCATCTCGCCAAGTAATTTACAAGACTTTTATCTAGGTCTCTAGAAAACATTATTAATTTCTGCTTGTTTACATAAGAAGCAATTATTGCCATACCCTCCCCTGGTGAACAGTAATACCTTGCTTCAAGAAAAAATAATGCTGTTGCTGTGTTAACGTCCTATGCTGGAAGAAAATGGAGCTGACTCAGAGCATGCAGTCGAGCTCTCAGAACTGTCTTCCAGGAGCAAAACAGGTTATGTGAGAACATGACCTTGGTGAGCTGTGCTAATGACTGTGATTTAAAATTCCAGGCTTTTGTCTCAAGTAGAGAATTAGATGAGACAAAATGCGTTTAAAACAACACAAATAGCACTAAACAAAATGTAGATACAATTAAAAAATATTACAATTAGTAACTAGGTGATCTCTAGCTAAAGTATGTTCAGTTTTTCCCAAGCTGGCATGTGTGGAAACTTGTACTAAACCCGCAATATTTGTGAATACCTGTAGTGTGGTGGTGTCAGCTGACACCTGGCTGCATAGGAATGCAATGGTCCCAGTACTGAGCATATTGGCCCTGTAACTTAACTGGCTGGCAAAGACCAGCCCTAAATGTATTTCGTGAGTGATGTGTAGTTTGAGAGGATAAATTCATGTTCATCACCTTCTTGCCAAAGGTAATGACTATTTGGACTGGGGTTAGAACTTCTTGGCATGGGTTGTCTCAGGAAGGTCCAGCATACAGTATTCAGGAGGAAATGCTGCTTGTGTTCAAGCTGGACCACCCTTACAGGATTTAAGACTTCTTTGAATTATAGTGTTCTCCTGTGAATGTAATAGCATTTTAGTCTCCTATGGGAAAGATTTAGGGGAGCTATCCCTTAAAAATATTCCCAGCACATGCAAAGCATTGGTTGTTTCAAATTTTTACATACATTTGCATATATTCTACTTTCATTTCTTAGAAACGCTCATGTCTTTGAAATATCAGAGGAGCGAAGAGGTACAGAATGCAGTGTCTGGAAGAACACACATATGTTCCATTAGCTGATAATTAACATTTTGCAGTGATGCAGATCATGAGATGTAGCCATTCTCTTGGTGTGTTGTTAAGCAAGTGTGGTTTTAATCTTCCTCACGCATGAACTGTCTTCCTTAATCTTAATCCTTCTAATCCTTAGACCTTTCCTGTGTCAGGTGAGGGTGAATGCTCTAAGTGCTCCCAGCTACCACTGGCCTAGTTTCCCTAAACCCAGACCACCCTATATCTGAACTCAGTGTTGTATCACTTTAATCATCAAAGAGATCACATTGTCTTCAGTCATTTATGCCTTCGTAGATTTACTTCAGAATAATGCCAAGACGTAGGAGGATTATAAAATCATACTTTCATTATTCCACCTTCAGCTCTGAATTCCTGAATGAGACTGTACTCTTTAATACTCCTGCCTTTATGCTATGCATATTTTCTTTTTATTTTCTGATTGTACTTGTTACTGCAAGTTCTCAGTTCTCTATGCCTTCTAATATGTTTTCCAGTGTGTTTTCATGGTATAGAATGGAATATTAGTGTATGTAAGCATATTAGTATTTAATTTAGAATTTATTTTTCTTTGGGTTTCTTTTTTTTTTTTTAAATCAGTGATCTCTTTCTCTAGTATTTCAGTGGAATAGCCTTAAAATGTATTGAATTTTGCAATTACTATTACTGAATTATCAAATTTGGCAATTTCCTTATTTAATACACAATTCTTAAGCATATAAGCCCTAGCTGCTAGAGAAGTTCTGTTTCATTGTCTGCTGTTTCTGATACCAGATTTTCAATTCCTAAGTAATTGCTATGAAGCAAAGGAGTGTGTCCATCAGTCAAAACTTAAATAAACAAGTCATGAAGCATTGCCTTGTAGGTACCAACCAGCAGACAGCCTGGCAGTGACCAGCTCAGCCTGCAAAATCAGACACCTCTGCTACATCCCTTATTTTTTGAAGAATTCCCTAGTTCAGCTTAATGCAATCGATGGAATGGCTTCCTTTCCATATCTCTGCCAGGGGGAAGATGCTGTTCCCTCCTCTAGAAAACATACTGAAAGCCATTCTTTTGAAGTTTCACGGAATTCTTCTGGGGTAAGTCGGGCACCCACCTGAGTTATGTATTTCTCAAGCTGTCAAATATGTGGTTGTTTACCTCAGTTTTCTCAAATAACCCCAAATATCCAACTCACACAAGAGCCCAAATTTAAACTTCTGTTTTGGAAACCCTTGGCCACATTTGTTTCCTGGTTGAAGTCTTAAGACAGTAAAATGGTTTTGTTTTATGAAAACATTGCACAGTAGTTGACTAAACAAAGCCCATTAAATAAAAGCAAACTACTGGAAGCCTTTGCAGCCTTCCCCTGCTACAGCAGGAAAACACTCATATTGTTTTGGCCACTCGGTGTCACATTTCAGGATTTCTAACTGCCAGCTTTATCTGTAATAGTACTTGTTTACCATGGTTATTCAGAATTGCAGAAGAAAGCAAGTCTGTCCTGGGAAGTGTCTTTTTCCTTCCTTCTCAAATATCAGGTGCACGCAAGGTAATCCAGACAAACCTGGTGAGTCTTAACTATGGTGGTCTAAAAAGCGAAAGGGCTCTGTGCCTGGTGCTGCTTGGATGAAGAAGCAAATCTTAAATCTGTGCTGTGCCAAGGCTGGGAGGGGTGTTGGACTGGGCTGCAGCAAGCCCGATGCATCCATGCCCATGGAATAACATCTGAGCACAGGGCAAGTTGTGGAGGAGCCCAGTGTGGGCAGCCGCTGGGGCACAAGCAGTGTGGAAGGCTCAGACATGGATTTGGATCTGGGCTTGGACGTTTTTATGGTCTATTTGGTGATTAAATTGTATTTTAAGATTCTCAGGACACCACTGTCTTTGGAGCCCACAGGGATCACCTTTCTTCTGCAGGCTTGAGTCACCATTCATTGTTTGATGATTTGATTCCTCTTGGCTGCCTTTGACGCTGTCAGCTCCACTGTAATGTTTCACTGGCCTAGAAAATGACAGGCGCCTTTTTGAGCAAGAAAGTTCAAGAGCAGAAATAAATTCTATTTTTAATCCTTCTTCTCATTTTCCGTGGGTGACACAATTTCTCACAGCACAGCAGTTCCAGGGTGTGGTGGTGTCACAGAGCTTGCCTTGCAGCCTGTTTTACAGATCCTGACCTGTTTACATGCTTTCCTCTACTTGAAAGTTTCAGGTTTGGGGGTTATTGTACTACTAATACCTGAATGGCACTTTGATTTATCACAGTGGGTTGGCAACAGATCTGTGGGATGAGAAAATACAAGCTAGGAATTTAAAGAAGTACTCAAGCATTAACAAAGCTGAACTGTGTCAAGTGGTGATAAATTTTCCACTATACCCTTGATCACCTTGTTATTAATGTCATCAATCTCTCTGTAAGAAGTGGCTCTGGGCATGCCCATATGACCAGATGTTCTGCTAAATAATTAATCACTGGGTCATGTTGCCAGAGTTTACTGCTTTCCAATTTAATCTTAGCAACTTACTCATTCGTTTCTTTATTTGGAAACAAAAAGCTTCACGGATAAAAATGAGTCAAATATACTGATATGTACACGTGTACATTAGCTTGCGCTAGAAATGTCTTCCCATCTTTTAAAACAACACCCCAAAATTAACAGTTGTGAGAATGATCACTTCAGGAACACAAGCTGTTTCTGCTGCCAGAACTCACATCCCAGCTGGCTCTCCCTGCCCCTTCAGTAGTAACTCAGCCCTCTCTCCCTTTTAAGAGGGCATTTAAAAATGCCACACTACCAGGATATCTCTAGAAATAAAACATTACAATGTCAGTTTGATTGTTTAATTAAAAATTACCAGGGATACCTGTCCCTTTGTTGAACTGGTATTGTTTGTAGCTAAAGCAAAATAAGTTCTAAGCAAACAGTTTAAAAATATTATCTTCTCTTCAGTTACAATTAATTTAATTTAGACTAGCACTGTATTAACTTGTAGCATTCAATTATTTAATGAGTCATGGAGAAAGTTTGCTAATTATAGAGCCATTCATTTTTCACAGATTTGAAGGCGTACACTGACATATATTCCATCAAGACCATGAGCTTTGTTCCATCCAAACCCTTCTTTAATGGTCTCCGTTATTTCACATAAGAAGTCAATTTGATTGTAATTTAACCATATGTACTCTCCTATACTACTTAATTTTGCTCGTGTCCCTCCAGGGATTTTTAGCTGAAGGCTCTTTTATCTGTTATATCTGTGACACCGTTGGGTTTTCCCCCTCTAGCTTCTTCCCAAGAATCAGTGGGCAGCAGCCTGCTCATCAAGGATTAATGCCAGCCTTCCACACGTTTACCCATTCAGACTCTCCTCTTTCAGTGTGGTTCATGGTTTTGTTTTTATTAATTCCCCCTAGATATTAGTTAGAATTGGCCAAATATAAGATGGGCTTTGTGTTCTCTTTCCTAATGAGTCAGTTGACTGTACTTCCAAATCAGTATTTTCATAGGATCACTTGCAATTTTCCCTGCTATTTACTGCTTGCTACTCATTCTCCACTGTTGAACAAAACATATGGCAGTGTTTTTTTTTCCCCTTGACTGCATGCCTGAAACTTTTTAAAAGGGAAAACGAGAATAGTTAATGAGCTTCTCCTACTGGGAATCAAAAACCCTAACCAAACAAGCATTTATGAATACACGAGTGTCGTTAGTAGGAGCCACGAATATTTTCACTGATACTTGTCCCTGTCTGAATGCTCTAGAATGATACAGCTACTTATTTGCTGCCTTTATTTCTGTTAGTTGCCTTTCTAATGAAAATATAAATCAGATACTGTTTTAATTTCCCATCACTATGCATGGCTTGTGTAGGCAAAGTCACTGTCTCCCACAGTCACCAGAGCATGTGTCTTGTGCAGTTTAAATTTCCAATTATAAACATATATTATCCATAATTTTATTGGTGACTGTTATGTGTACTATCTATCCCCAAATTCTTTGGTTTTCCTATGGGATACCCAGCATAGACTTGTACAAGAAAATTGTTAGTGTGATACATTACACTAGTATCTTCCAAAGCCCTGCTCTGTAAAGTCTACATTTAAGCAAACGGTGTGGTAAAATCCCTGATATCGTGAAAAGCTTTGCCTATGCTGTATGTAAACATCAGGAACCTATGAAGAACCTCAAGAAAATAGTGAATACATGTAGGAATCCATTTAAATCAATATTTAACAACAAAGTTGTTGTTTCTGTATATGTGTGTACATTTTTAAGCCTTACGGGTCTGTAAAATTGAAGTTGCTTTATCAGTGTAGGCTGCAGTTATGTTTCACTTCTGATGCTGAGTTGAATTAGGAACCACAGGGATTGCCAGGGACCAGGCTATCCAGTCAGGGGTACTGTCTCCAGCATCCACCAGCACCAAATGATACAGGGAGAAGCTTAAGAAATGTCATTGTAGACTAGTGGATTGAACACAGTTTTGTCTTTTTAATTGTAACTCCTTAGAAATTAGTTTAAATGCTAACAAAAGAAAGTTTGAAAACCTGTTAGAATTTAATAGTTAGTTCTAAGTATTTTTGTTGTTATTTGAATGTCTTGCTCATACCTAAATTATCTTTAGATATGGAATGCACTGGACAGCTTTTTAGGACAAAAGAGATGCTCTGTGATGATTATGTGTGGTCCTGCATGCAGGAAGACCCTGGCAGGCTTGGATGGTTGGTATTGGGAGGGCAATTAAAAGTACTTCAGGTCCTTTGGTGTCTAACAGTTTGCCCACTCCCCAGTTACAGGCCTGGAGTACTAGTTTGGCTGATGTAGCTGTTATCTCCTGCAGACAAGCAGTAAGAACTGGGGGGTATCAACACCAAAGGCCTCACAGTTTTTCAAAAAACATCCCTCTGGGGTGGTATGTCACCAACAACTCCTTATTTACCCTGAAGACTGCTAGAGATACAGCCAATAGCTGGGTCTATTTGGAGTAAATACAGCTACTTACACAGCATTTGGATTTCAAATCACTCAAAAGTTCAGGCAAACTTAAACCATGCACACAGATGCACCCTCTAATAAAGGTAAGACTGAAATACAAAGTTTACAACAAATCTGTATTTGAAGTTAAACTTTCTTTGGAATCTCCTTCTCATAAAAATTGACAGTATTCAGATCTAGCAGTTTAATAAGGATCACATTTAATTTCAAGTTGTGGGCTCCATGTATTTCTCACGGTGAGGCTTTTGCCGAGGTGTTTTACCAGTCAGTCACTGGTGATTTCCCAGGAGCAAACAAGAACAGAGGGTTCAGTGTGAGATCTGACACTGAGCAGATGAGCTCTGTGCTGTCCAGTGCTTTATCTCCAATCTTCCTTTACATCAAATTGCTTTTCTAGTTTTATTCTGAACCTTCCTTGCTTTGAATGATATGTGAAAGATGGTGTGATTCTGTAATTGTGTGATTCTGTGACACAAATCTGGGACTCCTTTCCTTGTGCTAACATTCACATTGTATTTATTAACTTTATCCTGTCTCTACCAATATAAGTAAATATTTTGGCAGAAAGCCCCGTGAATTCCCTCCTGTTGCACAAATGGCCACATTTTCTATCTTTGAGAAATGAGATTCTTCTCCTTCCAAGTTTGCTTATCCTTTTCCACTTTTTCCAGTGAGTGTGAAACTGTTTTAAATATAACACTTCCATGCTCCCACCCATAATCCAGGTAGCATCACTACCTTCAGTAGCTCATGACTTTTATAGCTCAGACTACTCCTGTGGTTCCTGTTTTCCTGCTTTTCAAAGCAGTCAGTGGCCATCTCTTCCGTTCCAGTTCTAAACACTTGGAAGCGCTTTTTCCAGTCATTGAGGTGACTGACTTAGTTGGTCTTTGGATTAGAAGTATATACCCTGTTAATCTGCTCTTAGCAAGAGTGAGTATATTCCCTGCCACTCAAGTGCCCTGCCGATGACTGTAGATGCAAACAGTGCTTCTTCCTCTGAAACGTGGTGTCAGCGAGGGGCAAGGAGGTGGGACATGCCATGGGCAGTGTCACCTGCACAAAGTAACTCACTGCCCGATGACCTGTAGGTACAGCTGTGTTCAGGCTCCTGTCCCCAGCACTGCAATCCTCCTCTACTCAGACCTCGGGGCTGCTCAGCTCCAAGGGCTGTGACAGGGACACCTGACCTGCACAGTGTTCAAAACAAACCTACCCCTTGTGTCAATGCTGGCTGCCACCACTGCAAAGGCAACCCCAGCACCTGCCGTAACTAAATCTTTCCTCGGGGCTTTGGAACCTTCCTCCCATTCGTTGTTTTTGTTTTGCTTATCTTTGGCAGGTGCTCGTTTCTTTTATCTTTCACCATTGTATTACGGGCGATTAAATGGAAACCTCTAATTCTGCAGGAACATTTGCAGGGCCCGGGTAAATCAATACTGATAGAAGAGGTTCCTCAGTAATTGTTAAATAGGGACCCAGCCTCGAGCAGCACTGACCAAAACTCGCTGCAGGCGACGGCAGCTCTGATGTGAAAGGAGCGATCTTTGCTCAGTCCCGCCAGCAGAGATCCAGGTCAAGAACCTCTGCAGCAGCTGCCACGGGTAACACCGTCACTTAAAACCTCAACTTCAGGGAAGCCCAAACGGCAGCCTCGAGCCCTGGCGCTCCTGCAGCACCTCTGGACCCAAGCCGGGCAGCTGCCGAGGCACGTCCAGCGCTCTGCCGCGGTGACTTTGACCGGGGCACGTGTCACAGAGCACCCATTAACGCGCGCCGGCGGCACACAGAGCATCACCTGCCTGCGCGCAGTACCGGCGCCACCGTAGCGCCCGTCGGACAGCGGCGTTAGCGGCGGGCCCGGGGCCATTACCAGGCGCGGTGACGGAGCTGAGCAGCCCCGGGGGGGTCCCGCTCGTTCCGAACCGCGGCCGTCCCTCGGCCGCCCCGCGGGCGCGCATGCGCAGCTCGGCGAGGCCGCGGCGCTGACGCGGCGCGCGGGGGGGGCGGCCCCGACTCCGACCCCGCCCCCTCATGCCGGTTGGCTCCGCCCCCTCCGCGGTGACCTGTAGTAACCCCGCGCCGCGGGAGCCCGGCCCCGCGCGCCACTCGGCGCGGGCCAACCAGGAGGCGCCGTGGCGCATACGGGATGAGCGCGCGCGGCGGTGGCGGCGGGGGGCGGCCCGGCCGCGGCTGAGCCGGAGCGCGGGGCGCGCACTCGGGCGGAGCGGGCGGTGCCGCCGCGGAGCGTCCGCGGGGCCGGGGCCGGTGAGTGCGGGGATGCGGGGGAGCGCGGGGCCCTGCGCCCGCCGGGAGCGCGCCCGGCCGCGCCGCGCTGCGCTGCGGAGCCCCGCCGGGCCTCTCGCCGCCTCCGCGGGGGCGAGTGCGGCGGCCGTGCGGGCCGCGGCGGGGCTGGGGCGGCCCGGCGGGGGCGGCGGGCTGGGCTGCGCACCGGCAGTGCCGCCGCGCCTCCCGGCCGCGGGTAATTAGCGAGATAACAGGCGATAGCGACGGGGTGTTTTCCTTAGGCTTTTCTTTGTGTTTCGGCTCCGACGGGTGCGGGGAGCGCGGCGGGGCCGGGGGGACCGCCCGGCAGGTGCCCGGCGCGGGGGTGACACGGTTGTCCCCGCGGTGTCCCCGGACCGGGGGTCCCGGCCCGACCGCTGCTCGGGATGTGTGAGCGCGTGTGGTGTGAGAGCTGCAGGGCCGGGGGAGGCACGGGCCGGGATTTCCAGCCCCGTTCCAGTGTTGCCATTCATGTTTCCAGGGTTTCGGTGCTAGATTTAGTGTTTAGGTAGATTCCCTCCCTGGGCTCCTCCGGGAAGGGTAGCACAGGAACACCCTTCGCTCGAGGGGAGGAAAGAAAGGCTTAAAAGACTATTTCAGATAATGAAACTTCATTAAGAAGGTGAAGTTCAGTGTTTGGGACCCATATAGAATCTCTGGGAAATAAGCAAACAGTAGCTTTCAGAGAAAGTAAGACAGCGACAGAATAAAAATAGTTGTAAGGTGGCTTATAAGCACTGCTGCATTTATTTTTTAGCTTCCTGAAGAAATAAGCTTCCCAAACTGTTTAATTATTATGTACAGCAACTGATACGTAATTTTTTAAGATCAGAAATACTGCACTTTGTTTAGAAGTACCACATTCTAGAACGTGACTTTTTTTGGCCTGTGAAATGGATTTCACACCAGATGTGAAATTCTTGTATTTAAATAGCCTCACTTTCTATCCTGAAGTGCAGTTCTCAGTACGGAATTTATGAAGTGAGCAATACCAATATTTATGAGCAACACAAATGATAAATGATTTTGGGTACTTTTAAAAGTCTGATACCGGTAAAGGCAGTCATTTTTACTCAATGCATTTGGAATATTATAGAAGTGTTAAGGAGTATTTTAGTTGACGTGAAAGGTTTTTTTGTTGTTGTTATTGTTTAAGTATCATGTAAAGAAAAAGCATAAAATGAAACCAAAAAGCCTTAATGACTTTTTTGTCTGGTTACATTCTGCTGTAGATCTGGTCTTTTTCCAGAGTGGATTGGTGTCTCATTGTGCAGAAATTCATTGTGGCATATGCCTTTTTTGTTTCCTGGGGCTAAAAAGTAAAGGTCTGAAATAATAGATGCGTTATCAGCTCTTAACTATTCCCAAAGAGGAAGGTAATCATCTGGGTGTACTCTTAAGACTTTATGCTCACAACCATCTGCACCACTGTGAGAGCAAGCACTTTTCAGTATTTGACTGTCCTGTGTGCTTTGAAAAGTTAAGGAAAGATATTATGAAGTCTGGTAATTCCCCCTTGTCCTGTGGATTTATGCTTCAGGAGTGGTTGAAACTAAACACTGTAACTTACAGACCTGATTTTCTTTGTAGTTGTTCAGCATGTTTGTTGTTGTTAGTCCCTAGAAACCAAAGGTAGGTTCGCATTTAATGTTCAGTGTTGATGGCTGGCGGACAGGCTTGAGTCAGTCTGATGGAGCTGCTGATGTGTGTGGTGGAAACTTCTGAAACACATAATACAGTCAGCCTGTGGTATGCATCTGGTACCTTTTGGCTGATCAGGAAAGCAAGCTTCTTGCTAATGGATACAGAATGCCTTGGAGAGAAGCAAAATTACTGACTTAATTCTAAAATAGCCTGTGCTTGGTTCTGAAAGTTGTGCTATCTCCAAGTGTCCTGTTCCACTCAAAGTGAGGAGTGATACAATAAATCTCAGCCTCAGTTTTATTCTGTATGTGTCACAGTACTGGGATGTTTTGAGAGAGCTCTGGGTTACAGCTGTGTACAGGGGACAGACTCTCCATACCTGTGCATCTGGAGTTCTCTGGGGCTTTGAGAAAAGCACTGTTAATGTCCTAAAAAGAGGTGTCAGGACTGTGGTGTGTTGAATCTGGGTCCTCTTTTCAGAAGTGTTTGTGAGTGGTTCCCACCTTCCCTGCTGCATCTCTCTTGCTTAGAGAATCCTGATTATGTAAGAACAGTGAGTAGAGCATGCTGGTATGTGTAACTTCTCAATTTATGACACTGTTATAAAACCATAATACCTAAAAGAAATAATTTCTCAAATCAAAAGTTCTGGTTCAGCCAGAAACCGAGGAAAATCAAAATGGTATTTATTGGAAAACTAATAATCTTTGAAGAACTAGAAGAAATGTCTTCATGCTTGACCTAAAGCGTGGTGTGCTTTTGCTGAACTGGTGAGCATTTAAGCCATTGATTTCCCCAGCCCACATTCAGTGCTGATTGTAGGGCTTTTATTCTTCCTTTCTGTAGACCAGTGAATGATTTGAGCCACAGTCATACTAAAGACCCATTTTTTTTCAGTGAATTGTTGAGGCATCTGGAACAAAGTATAATCCACGTCTCAGGACAAAATGCAGAAGAGCTATGGATAAAGCATTCTTGTTCAAGGAGATCCAACTATGGAGTAAATTTGCAGAAAGTAGCAGGAAGAACTGAGTCCTGAATTGTTTAGTGATCTACATTTTCTTTTGAAATATATGTTTCAGTGGAAGAGTAACTAAACCTGTCTTGACAAATGAGCTGCTACTTGCTGCCACAATGGCAAATCCAAAGGAATAATGCAATCTGATGCTGCAATGTTATCGGACCCTAAAGACTAGATTCAGGTGCCCTGGATTCCACTGAAGCACCTTTTCTCTTCAATGGAGAAATCTAGGTGGTTTTGAAAAGCAATTCAGAGAGTTTACATATGACATGGAATCGGGAGCTGCCTGAAAGCCAGCTAATAAGAAATAGGAGACAGAAGGATTTATGTGGAATTTAGGCCATCTGAATATGGCCCTAAGATGCGACTTAGTACTACTAAGTAAGGTGTATTAACACTAAGAAGACTTGGCTTCAATTTCTATCCATTTCATCTGCTGCCGATTACTAAGCAAATTTACCATTTAAGCAGCTGTTTGAGGGTGGGGGCTTCCTGGCTTGTTCTCTGTCAGGAGTGACCTCCTGCACTGGCACAGCCTGCCTGGGGGTAGCTCTGCTGAGAGGGCTCTCGGAGTCGTGGTGGACAGCAAGCTGAGCATGGGGCAGCGTGTGCCCTGTATGAACAGGAGCACAGCCAGTAGGTGAAGGGAAGCAATTATCCCATTCCATTGGCACTCATTAGACTGCATCCAGAATACAGCATCCGGTGTTGCTCCCTGCTCTGGGACAAGGGAAATGTTGATAAACTGGAGTGAGTTAACTGGACCGCTGCCAAGATTGTCTGGAGCTTTTGCTTTGTGAGGAGAAGTAGAAGTTGAGCTTGGAGAAGAGAAGGCCTGGGGGGCCCTTCCAGAACCTGTGTGGAGGTTTTCAAGAGAATGAAGCCAGGTTCTTCGCAGTGGTGCATGGTGGGAGGACAAGAGACAGCGGGTGTGAGGGGTCTGTCTCTACAAGGCATTTTTCACCCTGAGGTTTGTCAGGTGGTGAGACTTGCTATCCAGAGAGCTTGTGCAGATTCCTTCTATGGAGGTTTTCAAAATTCAACTGGATAAAGCCATGAGAAAGCAGGTCTGATCTCACTTTGAGCTTGAAGTTGAACCAGAGTCCTCCTACTGTCCTTTCCTACTTGAATTGTCCCGTGGCTCTGTTAAGTTTGTGCCAACAGAGCAGTCGCAGTGGAAGGTTCTGAGCCAGCTTATTTAGGACTGCATGTGTTCTGGCAGTGCAGGTTTACACATCAAACTTGGAGGAGTATAGGAAGCACTCAAGCCAATCTTAAGCAGTTCCCAAATGGCAGGACTTTATTTGTGTAATTATGCAGTTAGAGTTGGAAGAACCTGCTCTTCATCCTGAGGGCCTGGTCTACATCGGTGTTTGCCGTGTAGTAAGGCTTGAAGGGCTGTCAAAGTATTCAGTACTCAGCTTTGAGATACAGTTTGGGATCTAATGATTCTGAGTCTGGTGAAGGAAATCCCCTGGACAAGGCCATATCCTAACCACACCTTCTGAATGGCTATTCCAAAATACCACTCTGTGGGGGGGAAAATAGCGCAACTCTCTGAAGGAAGCTCAAATCTTACTGTGTATTACCTTTTAAATGAATTAGAGAAAAGTTGTTCAAAATTCAAACTGTTTTTAAAATCAACTTGATACAAAACTTGCAAGAGTCTTTTACTGATCCTTGGGAGGGAATTACCCACCTGTCCTCTCATTCCTTAAGTGAGCCTGCAGCTCACGGGAAGTCAAGGTGCTGATTTAGTGCCTGTAATCCCGGAGGAGGAGGTGGCAATTTGTCACCGCGTGAGCATTGGGAAGTTGTCTTTCCTTCAGTGTTCCTGAGTCTTGTTAATTATGAAAATGTGCTAGTTAATTACAGTATCTGAAGTGGGACAAGCTGGCTTCTCAGTTCTGTGAGTTTCCTGAAAAGCAGGGAAGATAAGATTATTGAAATTATTGACTTAGCTTTTCATTAATAGTGAAAACAGCAATAACAAACTGCAAGCCTTCTCCCATTTTACTATAAAATTGGAAATCTGGTGGTTTGTTTTTTAGGAACTACGTAAATATCCTTACCCTGAATGCTTCTATCTACTGGATGAAACCAGTATGAGACCTGGAAGGGGAAAGTAGATAATAAATATTAGAAGTGACTTGCTGAAGATGAAGCAGCAGAATAGCAGTAGTCCTGCACTCCCAGCTCCAGTTTCCCACCTATTTGCTGTTTTACATTGCTGTCTGTGTGGAACATTCTCTCCTCCTGTGATAAACTCCTAAGGATACTTTGAACTGAAAGCTATGTAAAAATACTTTATCTACAC